CCTTCTGGTTAGCAGTCAAGTGCCTTAGGCATTATGCTACCAGAACACCTTAGGCCAGGTTAGGAGATGGGATTAGCACTTTATGGAGTGAGGCATAAAGCAACGCGCTCTGAGCCAGGTTGTGTCAGAACAGGTCGTCCTGCCCAGCCCTTTCAAAGTTCTTGTGCCCAGAGGGAAGAGGAGAGCCAGACTACTTCCAACTCAAGCACATATATATATATATATATATATATATATATTTATCATGATGCTTTAGTTCCTGGCATGCTGAAATATCAAAGGCGGGGAGAAGGACCCCACAGAACTGCAGCCTGGAGCCTTGGCACAAAGGGATTTGAATGAACTTTTCAAAGAACTCTGCCGGCCACTCAAAGACATTGCTGATGCCCACTGAAGGCCCATCGAAGCTCCGCCCTCAGGCATTCTTCCTTGAGCAGCTGCATTCCAGTGTCTAGCTCCAACATCAGATGACAATTCAAACCTGATGCTGATAACTTTGGAAGTCAGGCTGGGATCACAGGGGTGGGAAGAATCACTCAGTTCCAGCTACTGCACTAGGAGCTCTGGTAGCATAGTGCCTAAGGCACTTGACTGCTAACAGAGGGCTGGCAGTTCAAACCCACCAGCCATCCTTGGAAGGAAGATGGGGCAATCTACTTCCGTAGAGATACTGCCTCAGAAACCCAAGGAGGGGTCGCTATGAGTTGGGTCTGACCCGACAGCACATAACAACAACAACAACAGGTACTGGCCTAAGTGCAGGGCCTCACAGAAGTAAGACAGTCTGGGCCTTGATGGGAAAGACCCTGAAGTAACAAGATAACCAAATGTGAGAAACACAAAGTGTTGGGGGATGACCACCTAGGGTAGGGATATCAAAAACACACGCCCCCAGGAAGTGACATCCATCCCCTTCAAGGACCAGAAGGACTTTACATTGTAATTTGGTCATCCTGTCAATCCTTGGCAGTAAGCTGTACTATTATTTAACTGTTTGTGGACTTGAACTGACCAAAGAGGACATGTGACTCTGTCTGGGGCAGCCCTGGTTTACTGCCTCCTGAAACTTATAAACAGCACAGTCTTCTTATCCACGTTGACAATATTGTAAGCATCCCCTGTAAAGCCCTCTGGGCCCAGTGACTTCATTCCCCAAGACCTTTCCACAGAAACTTGGCTCACCTCCACAGACAGGACCTTCCCCAAGGCAAAGAAGAGGGGATGCATGTTGATATCAGGGTCTTTGCGGAAGCAGTTGGGCTTGGCATGATGCTGAAAGTGCAAGTGGTTCCACCAGCTGGCAGGGGCCCCCTAAACAAAGCAGGGACATGGGTATGAGAAGCTAGTATCTCCCTGCAACCCCCACCCCAGCAGCCATTCATCAGATGGGGTTTCAGAGAGCATCTCCCCCCTCCACAATGACCTTCAGGTGGCCAATCACGAAATGATGTAACAGGTGGTTCCATGTAGAGGTGCTGAAGACAGACAGATGTCCAAAATCATGCTGTAGCCAGCCAGCCTGGGCCTAGGAGACAAAGGGTAGCACTGAGAGCAGCCCACCAGCCCAGCGGCCCTCACTGACCTCAGTGGCTCCATCAGCCCTTCCCTCTTCCTTTATCCACCAGGGCCTATGACGGATGTAGGAACCCTCCCTGAGCACATCAGGAAAGCAGCCAGCAAACCTGGCTCCTAACTGTGGCTTTGTCCCTAACTCACATGAGAGTTGGGGCAAATCACTACCCTGTCTCTGTTCCTCAATTTCCCCAGCTCTCAAATTCCATGACTCATGGTGGACCGAACATCAAGACTCTAGAAGAGGACAGAGTGACAAACTCAGAGGTGCAGAAGGCTTGGCAAATGGTTTTGACAGCCAAGTATTAGGACCCAACCATGATTAGCATGTTGGGCAATGTCAGTGGCAGGAAGGAAGGGAAGCTTTCCTGAGAAACCAGAGTCTTGGTTCTTAGCACACTTAGGCTGTGGCAGAACCCGGACATGATGCTGCAGAGGAGTCAAGAACCTGGGGAGAGGCAGTGAGAAAAATGAAGATGTGCATGTGGCCTATGAGCAGAGCACAGCAAAGCTGCAGACAGTAGGATGCATGCTCTTTCCTCCTGTGGTGGTTCAGTTTGTGTGTCAACTTGGCTGGGCCTGGCTGAGTGGCTGGGCAGCTGGATGTAGTATTCCCCATGATGAGACTGGTCATCAACTCCATGGCGGAATCTACCACGAGCAACTGAGTAGCTGCCTTTGGGTTTGTGGTCTGCTTTCTGTATATAAGGACAAGCTTTGAGAGTGGTCTCTAGCCTGTGGCACGCTTGGACCCTGCATGTAGCTGTGTCGTTGCTCAGCAGCGTGCCATGCTCTGCTGACCCTGGGACTTACAACAGACTTAAGTTAATGGCCTGCCATGTGGTTTGGTAACATCGGGACTGTGCCTTTTGACTTGTTGACCTTGGGGCTTCTCAGCCTCAGCAGCCAGCAGCTGTCTGAGTGAAGAAACGCCTCTAGCTCCAGTGGGCCGGGAGCAGGAGGCAGAGCTGGACCCCAAGGTTGAGGGGCTTTCACCCAGCCCCTAGAGCCTGGCACTTTGCACTTGGACTTCAGGTCTCCCAGGTCAGAGGGCACGGCTCCTTGGCCTTCTGAAGGGTACAGAGCACACTCCCCAGGAATGATGAGCACAAGGCTGTGCACATGACAAGCCAAGGATGCTCACCTGCCCTGCGCTGAGCAGCACTGCACAGAGGAGAAAGGGCACGAAGGACGTCCCAAAGAGCCAAAGAGTGAGCCAGGCAGCAGCATCCATCAGCAGGATGTGCAGCAGGTACAGCAGGAAGAAGGTACGGTTGGCCTTCATGAGCCCCATGTGCTCCACGGAGGCCCGAAGCGCCCGGAACTCATCCGTCAGCTCTTTCTGTGGAAGACAGGAAAGGGCTTGGCTTATTGTTCTTCCCAGCTGCACCCCTCAGGTTCTCTGAGGCTCAAGGACCTCCCCATCCACTGAGGCAGCTATGGGAAGTCCACAGGTCTAGGGAAAGACACCAAAATACTCAATGAGGACGCCAGTAGGAAGGGATAGATGATCCTGCCCAAGAGCGTGTGGTCTTTGGAGTCAAGCTGACCTGACCAAAGTCCCTACTCTGCCACTGATTATATGACTCTTGCCCAAGTTCTGTAACCTCTCGAAGCCTCAGTTTTCTCATCTGTAAATGTGTGAGGATTTTCCGAGATTATGCTTGGCACACAGTTAAGTGATCAACAGATCTCACGCTGGTGATGATCACAGTGGTACTGGTCGTGGTGGTGGCCTTGGGAGGACCATGGTTCAAAGCCCGGTTCCCTTGGGCTTGTGACCCTGTGACTGTGCAGGAAAAGGAGATTTCCAGTGACCCTTTCAGACCTTCCTTCTATCCCCCTGCTCCTCAACCACCACTCAGCAGCAAACAGGGTCTCACATTCTTCGTGGGCTCAAAGCTGGGCTGTTCCGGAGACAGTTCCCCAATCAGGAGAGAGTTCATGTACTTCCTCACAAGGCCCTTATTGATGTGGAAAGCTGTAAAGGCGTCCTGCAAAGATGGCAGAGAACAGAAAGGTCAGGAGGCCAGCCCCACTCCCAGGGCTCCTGGACTCACACCGGAAGGCCTGCTTCTGATGTAGCATCACACCCTCCTGCCAGCAAGGAGGCTGTATTCAAGTTCAGAAAGAGACACAACTCAAGTTCAGAGACACACTCCCCGCTCCAGCCCTGTGGCCTTTGAGAATGCTCTCAGGCCTTCCCCAAGGGTCCACAACACAAGATCATTCAAAAAGTCCGGTCTGGCCCTATCTGGGAGCAGCTTTCAAACATGAATGAATCTAGAGGAGAGAAACCACCAGAAGGTGGGGCTGCGACTTCATCCCTTTTTTGGGCCCTTTTCACAACCTCCCTCCCTCTCACAGCCTTTGTTCTCCGTAAGATGGGAAGGCGTAGTGGTGACCGCCTAGGTCCGAACTGGGAAATTGCTGCGGCTCTCCCTGTTCTCGTGCCCACTGCTGGCTTAGGTGGGGTTACATATTTTCCCCAGTTCTCTTACCACCCCCCTGCCCCAAGGTGGCTAATTTGGCCCTGGGAGGAGGGGGGCCTTCGCGAGCCGGGATGCACAACCGCCCGGTCCTACGGCCCCAGATTGTGTCGGAGAAGCGGCGGTGCAGGGCGGGGGGCCAGGGCGGAGCCGGGCGGCGGGTGGCACCACACATCCGGACCAATGGCCATCCCCGCCACGGCCATTACCGGCCCCAAATCACACTGCGGGAAGCTGAGGCGTCAGTGCCGGCACCGTCTACGCATGCGCTGGCCCACGCCTGCGCCGTCCGCCCCCGTGTGGGCTACCGAACTGTCACTCTGTGGGTGAATCGTGCAGGCTCGGACCCCAAACCTCAGGCCGGCCGTGTCAGAGGGGGGAGGGGAGGGCTCTCGCCTGCAGGCATCTAAGCTCCTCTGAGATACAACAGGAACCCTGGCCGGAAAAGAGCTCCGGGAGAGCTAACGGGGACGGCATGAGGTGTCACGGCGCTGGGAGCCGAATGGGATGGGGATGCGAGGGGAGGGGATGCGATCCCCACAGCCGAGGTGTGGAAAGCCCCAACTCTCGGGTCCCATGGGGTGATCTCCGGAGCTCTAGCCCAGCAGGGAGGCGTCGGGTGCCTTAGCTCCGAGGATGGGCGGTCTAATAGACGCAGCGGGACCGAGACTGGGGCTGGCGTAGACCCCGCAGAGTGAGGGCGGACGCGACCCAGCACTGGGCAACCGCCTTGGAACGCAAATGGCTGTCGGCTGCAGCGAGTAGCTGGAGACCCCGCTGAATTGCGGCTCAGTGGCCTCCCAGCAGGATTCGAGGGCAGCTCCGGGAGTCCTCGCTAAGTGTACGCTTATGCATTCCCCGCTCCCAGCGCCGGGTCATACCGCTCCCATTCTACCCTGAGCCTGCAGCTGCTGGTCCTTTCCGGCCGGTGCTGTCCCTTCCTCGCCCGCTTCCTGGGGTTCCCAAGGCAGCGGGAGCTCGGTGGCTTCCCGTTTCAGCCTCATACTGGAGAGTGGTTCCCTCCTCGTTCCCGCGCCTGAATGGAGCTCAGCACGTTCTGTCCAGACGCGGCTGCGCTCCCCTGCCCAGCCACCGAGACAGGACGTGACTCCCTCTGTCACTGACCCCCTCCTTCCCCGTCGCTCTCCCTGCACCCTCGCTCTCCTCCCTCCTACCCCTGTTCGGGGCCCTGAGACCACAGACGCCGAGCAACGGACCCAAAGCGCGGACGGGCGGGGCGGCCCTTTGTTTCTGGTTGCACGTTTCTGCCTGCTTGCCTCAGTCTCCACACTCCTTTTCAGAGCCTGTCTCCTGCTTTTGCATTCCCGCGGCTGCAGCACACCTAACCCGGGGGCAACAGGTAGGACCAGACTCATCTCGCCTTTTTTGCTGCCCCGGCTGCCAAACTTCCTGTCTCCGGCTCACGCAGCCTCCGACTCCGCCCCTGCTGTGCCCCTCAACGCTCACCGTGGCATCCTGCCCCGCGTAGTGGCTGATGACACGGGAGCCCCCAGGGTGCCGGAGGATGAACTCGCTGATGTTGTACACCTTCCGTTCAATCACGAGCCACCGCTCCTTCCCGCGCCCGGAACGCTGCGCCACCTCGTCCCAAGTGAAGTAGCGGGGCGCCGGCTTCGCAGCCGGGGTCTCTGTAACCACTGGGTCGAGAGCCATCTCTGTTCTGACACCGCCGCGCGGTGGCGGGGTAAGAGCTGTGATGCGCGCTCTCGGGGCCTGCGGCGTAGCGCGCGCCGGCCTCACGTGCTCCGGGAGAGAGTTCTCTAGCGCGCACCCGAAGCCCCCGGCCCGCGCGCTGGGATTTCAGCACCAAAGGTGCGGATTGCCAATCCTCAGCGTGCGCCCCCATTGGCTGAGTCGCGTGGCGCGGGACGCGAGTCCCCGCCTTCCCGCGCGGGAGGTGCAGACAGGCGCAGCCTTGGGAGTGTTGAAGACCCTGAGCCTGGCGCGGACGTGCGCCCCCTCGCGGGCTCCTTAAAGGGATTCCAGCCTGGTTCTTCCCGACTTGCGGTCGGTGGGGTATCCCGGCGTTTACTCCCAGGGGGCGCCGCACCAAAAAACGGTTCCTGGAGAGGCCCCCGTGTGCAGGTTCCCCTGTGCACTGAGGCAGCGGCCCCGAGTGCACGGCCAGCTCGGGCTTCAGCCGTAGCAGTTGGTCGGGCAGGTGGGAGCAGCTCGGTGAGTGGGTGCTGGAGGGAGCGGGGGCGTCCTGAGGGGCAGGCGGGGTCAGGAGACTCCACACTCCTGTGGTCCCACAACTGTGCTTTAAAAGACCAGCTCTTTCTTTTTGTTTTGTTTCAATGTTTTAAAATATATCCTAGAGGAGTGCACTCTGGTATACTCTGGCTACTACCCACCTCCAAAACCGGTTACAAAACAAACAGAAAATTAGAAGAGAAAAGCCAGCAGACGGGTTAGTTTAGTGGTCCTAACAGCAGTGAATGTTGCCTTAGTTTCCCCTGCTTGGATACCGGCTGTACCACCCTTAACAGGAACTCAGCTAGCGTAGTGCCTAAGGCACGTGACTGCTAACCAGAAGGCTGGTGGTTCGAACCCTCCGAAGGAAGGTTGGGGCAATCTACTTCCATAGAGTTACCGCCTCGGAAACCCAAGGAGGGGTCGCAATCAACAACTACCCTTAAGGGGAGGGCTCTGGTGGCATAGTGCCTGAGGCATTGGACTGCTAACCAGAAGTCTGGAGGTTCAAACCCATCAGCCACTCCTCAGAAGACTGGGCAATCTACTTCCATAGAGATAACTACCTCGGAAACCCAAGGAGGCCTGATTTTCATAAACCCACCTGTTTCTCAGAAATCCCCTCCCATTTTATGAATAAACATGATGCCTTCCTCTCTCCCCCCAAAAAAAACCCTTTATAAACCCTAGGAAATCCTTTGTTTGAGGAGAGACTAGAGGCTAGCATAGGTGAAAGCCCCTTCCGTCTCCTTTAAATAATAAACTTTGGTTCATGTGAACAGTTTGCCTCTCCTGTTCGCTTCCTTAACAGGAGATAGCAAGGACCCCTGCTCAGGGTCTCAGGGACCCTGGTAACAATGTGATGACTGTGAAGAGACATTAAAGGTCCCAGGCTTGAGAGGAGGTCTGTGAGACCCCCCTCAGATGGACAAGCAGCTGCCAGGACTCGATTTGTCCTGCATCCCTCCCTCCTAGTGAGATGACCTCTAATCCCTAACCCTTCAAATTAAGTCTCCATACAAACCAAATTTTCTCACTTCTTTTTTTTCCCCCTTTCTTTTTTTGTTTCCTGCCTCATAGAGCCACAGTGTCTCTGGCCTGAACTGTGAAGCTGCTAGTTTTTTTTTATTTATTTATTTTTCCCCCTTTCTTTTTTCTGGGTCTTTCTGGTTGGTTGTTGAATAGCTGTAATGGACACCTCCTGACTCAGGCAGGTTGGAAAAGTGCACTCAGCCAGACTTGATCACTCCAGAGTGACCTCTGTGTGAAGGGACTTAGTCCCCAGCAGTGACAGGGAAAACCACCACAAGCAGGGTGCCCCTGGCTCATGGGGTGGCCATCCTCCACTGAGAAGACTATTCAAGATTGTGGGAGGATCCCTTGCTGAGGGGTTCGAGTCTCCAAAACACAAGGGGGAAAAGACCCAAGTTTTTACTTTCATTCTTTCTTTCGACTTTGTCACAATTTAGTGACTTTCCTTTATAATTTCTCCTCGGAGTTTCTTCATCACTCTGAATTTAAACTTCCCCTTTTCTTCTCTTGAAAACTGAATACCTGTTGGGTGAGTGCCTTCCTAACCCTTTATTACTTCTACCCTCTCTGTGTCCATCTTTGGGGCAATCTCAGTGCCAATACTTTTTCCAAATCCAGTCTTGTAATTGTCAACCTATAATTTCTCCTTGTACCCGTGAGCCATGGATCCAGAATACCTGGACCCAGAATCTCTCTGATCCCTCCTAGAAGTTTTTATTTACCTTTTGTTGTCTTGTTAAACATTTGTATTTTTGCCACTCGGTTTCATATTTTAAAGGATCTACTGGAAGTCAGACCTGAACTTGGTGTAAATTAGGATTGATAAAAGCCACTCTTATTGCCTGGAGACACTTTCTCCAGTTTCTGCCACGCCCTCCCCATGCGATTACTTTATTTCCAAGTCCTGAAGTTTGACGACACAATCTCATTTCTTCCTTCTTGGTTCCAGTCTTTGGAAAAATTCTGTTGTAGTTGTCTCTGTAGAGTTTCCCTTGCCTTCTGCCTTGTGACGAGCCCATCTTGCTGCTTTTGTGAGAATTCAGGACAATCATCTTGGTGCTCCGTCTATGGGAAGGAGAAGAGGAAGCTTCTTTTTCTTTTGTTCTCTGATCGGACACTTTTATCAGTGCCCTCGCAGTGCTGGGATTTAGAGAGATGTGGAACCTAGAACCAATTTCGTGGTTGCATTTTCTTTGCTAAGTCTGCCTGGGGTGCCATTCGGTGGCTGGTGGTACCTGCCAAGGCAGTGGAGAAAGCTTGGGGCCTCACCAGAGATATCTCCAGAGACCTTCGACTTGTGACCTGGCAGCCTTGGCCTGGACCCTATGATGGCTTCTCGAGAGGCAACAAAAGAACATTATTTTAAGTAAACTTATAGTTTTAATCAGAAGTGTGAGTTTATAATCTGGTCATTATTAACCAAGCTTAAAGTTGCTGAGCCTGTGTTGAGAGTGGCAGCACCCGGTATCCAAGCAGGGGACATGAAAGCCACATTCATTGCAATAAGTGTTGTTGTTATGTACCCTAGAGTTGTCTCCAACTCATAGCGACCCCTCCTTGGGTTTCCGAGGTGGTATCACTAGGGAAATAGATTGCCCGACCTTCCTTCCCAGGAGTGGCTGGTGGGTTTGAACCACCAACCTTCTGGTTAGCAGTCAAGTGCCTTAGGCATTACACCACCACTGAACTGACCTGTTTGCCGGTTTTTCTAATTTTCTGATTTTGTTTCTTTTGTAACTGGTTTTGGAGATGGATAACAGCCAGAGTAGACCAGAGTGCACTCCTCTGGGGTATATTTTAAACATTGAAACAAATTTGGTTATGATCTCATGAAAAGAAACAGCTGGCCTTTTTTTTTTTTTTTTTTAATTTTTGTGATTTGGGTGAAAGTTTACAGAGTAAATTCTTTCCATAAGGGCAGCTCACACACACTTTGTCTCTTGACACTGACTGCAATTTCCCATAATGCAATAGCTCCCCTCCTACTTCCTCCCCATAGTTCCCTCTTCCCTGTGCCCTTCCCTCCCATGCACTCCTGCCCTGAGCTGTCTCCCTGTGCATACACAACAGCTTGTCTTTTAAAGCACAGTTGTGTGAACACAATATGAATTAGGAGACTGTTCTGGTTACCGAGTGCCGCTCTGACAGGAAATATACCACAAATGGGATGGCCGTAACAAACAGGAGTTTATTCTCTCAAAATTTGGAGGCTTTAAGTCCAAGTTCAAAGTGCCAGGCTCTAGGGGCTGGGTGAAAGCCCCTCAACCTTGGGGTCCAGCTCTGCCTCCTGCTCCCGGCCCACTGGTGCTAGAGGCATTTCTTCACTCAGACAGTTGCTGGCTGCTGAGGCTGCCAAGCCCGAGATTAAGTAAAAAGGCACAGTCTTAATGTTACCAAACCACATGACAGGCCATTAATTCAAGTCCATTGTAAGTCCCAACGTCAGCAGAGCATGGCAAGCTGCTGAACAACGACACAGCTACATGCAGAGTCCAAGTGTGCCATAAGCTAGAGACCGTTCCCAGGGCTTCTCCTTATATACAGGAAGCGGACCACATTCCCTAAGGCAGCTACTCAGCTGCTCATAGTAGATTCCACCATGGAGTTGATTGCCAGTCTCATCATGGGGAATAACTACCACCAGCTGCCCAGCCACTCAAGCAGATCCAGCCAAGTTGACACACAAACATAACCACCACAGAGACCAAGAACACTGGCCACCTTCTTGGTCAGTAAATTATAATACTATTTTGCAAATTAGATTTGTTTTATACCCACATTAACAAATGGGTCAAGAAAATGTATATGTGTTTTTGTACATTGATAAAGAAATTTATATATTTTTTTGCAATACTACCTGCCCACCGTGTACTTTGGGGTATCATGAAAAATGGACAGAGAATGGTAGTCTCTCTTATAACACCATTATACAATTAGATGTGTGTGTGTGTGTGTGTGTATGTTTTTGGTTATGTGCCGTCGAGTTGGACCTGACTCATAGCGACCCCTCCTTGGGCTTCCGAGGCAGTATCACTACGGAAGTAGATTGCCCCATCTTCCTTCTGAGGAGTGGCTTGTGGGTTTGAACCACCAGCCTTCTGGTTAGCAGTCAATGCCTTAGGCACTACGCTACCAGAGCTCCCATGTATATGTATGTGTATATATTTTATATATATATATATATATATATATATAGGCAAAAGACAAAGTGGAGAGAGATTTCATATTTGAGATCCAAATGCAAGTTTAAAGACCCAAAGAAAAATCCTTTAAGCCTTTTGTCCTAAAACCTGGTGGGCAGGAGGCGGAATATACTCAGCCCTTTGTTCTAACCTCCACCTTGTTTCACAGCACCTTCAGCAGCTGAGGTATCATCCCCCACAGGATACAGGCCAAGGCTGCCAGGTCATAGGTCAAAGGTCTCTGGAGATATATCTGGTGGAGCCCCAAGCTTTTTCCACTGCCTCTGCAGGCTCGACCAGCTACCA